ATGGGGCTCAAACTTATAACCCCAAGATCAAGAATCAGACACTCTACTAACTGTGCCAGCCAGATGCCCCAGCAGTACTCTCTTAATAACCAAAAACTAGAGGCGCCTGGGTGTCTCACTCGGTTAAGTGTCTGACACTTGATTTCAGCTCAGGTCATGATCTCAGGATCATGATATCGAGCCCCATGCTGGGCTCTGTGGTAGGCATGGAGCCTGCTTTAGGATTCTCTCTGTCCCTCTCCCTCTGCCCCTCCCACTGCTCACACTCTCTCTCTAGATAAAAAAAATAATAATAAAATAAAATAAAAATAACCAAAAACTAGAAACAATCCACAGGTCCACTAGCAAACAATAAAATAAAATAAAATAAATTGCAACATATTAAATGGAATACTATACAGTAATAAAAAATTAATGAAGTGCACATAAAAACGGGAATGAATCTCACAAACTAAGGTGCAAGAAAAGAAACCAGAATAAAAGAATATATGCTGTATCATTCCATTTATATAAAGTTCAAAACCAGGCAGATATGAACTATGGTATTAGTGGTCAGGAGGAGGGGAAGTAATTGGGTGGGAAAAGGCGAGGAACTGTGGGAGTGCTGACAGCATTTCAGTTATTGATGGAGTAGTGACATGGGAGTATTCACTCTGTGATAATCCACTGAGCTGCATCCTCATGACTGGTGTACTTCTCTATGAAAATAAAAATTTTAAGTCTCTTTTTGGCCTACTGATTCTAGGCTTGTCAAATTACAAAAAAATAAGTAAATAAAAAGTGTACAGATGCTATAGAAAAATGTACAAAAATGTGCTCTCTGATTTTTAGATTTTCTCAGAGTCAAGAAAATATTACAAAGTACAGAAAACAGGATTACTTTTAATGATCTTACAAATTTAAAAGTTCCCCACATATTTCAATATATCACTTCAAGTAAGATAGCTAAAAAAGTGGAAATTTTCAATGCAAAACTAATATATACTTGCCTCTGACTTCAATATCCTTCTATTAGAATGAGGTACAGAGGACTAAGAAGCGATAATGTATACACTTAAGCAAAACCACTGAAGATGAATATGTAACACCCTACACTATAAATAATCTAAACACTATAAATAATCTAAGAAAAAGTCACTGTTTTGGTATTCTACGTCCTGTTCACAGCTAACCTTTGACCTCAGTGGCTTTTCCTAATTGTCACTTTCAGGCATGCTTCTGTTTCCAGAAGAAAACTGGGATTGTCCAGATGCTCACTTTAACTAACAGAACAATAAGAAACTGCCAACGTGTTTCACTGGGAGTGTTGTATTCCTATTCATAGGTAGTACTATGGAGATAAGGCAAACTGATATATATATATATATACACATTCTTGGTTCTCTCAAATCACAGCATATTCCATACATATTATACTGTTTTTGTAGCTAATCTCTTTTAACTCTTCTCCCATAAGGTTGTCCTTGGAAAACCTCTTATTTATGTTTTTAATACTTACTTTTTTAAAGTAATCTCTACACCCAACATGGGGCTCAAACTCATGACACCGAGATTTAAGTCGTGTGCTCTACTGACTGAGCCCCCAGGGTCCCCCATGAAAAAAACCCTTAAAATCATTTTGTCATTAACTTTCTTCACTAGAAACTCAATGTATGAACAGGATTTTGTACTAATTCAGAGGAAATTCAGATTCAAATTGTTTTTAATCCAATATTAACTATCTTTCTTGGAGTGAAAACAGTTGGCATACATAGACAAAAGACACTCAGAGATAATTCAAGAATTAGTCTAATGTAACCAGTTACTGAAGTTACCCAGTTAAATGCTAACTTTTGGGATTTCTTAAGTTTGAAAGAAATGAGGCCAAAAGAATATCCAAGAAAATCTTAGGGGCACACAGGCTGACTGATAACAGGTGTCCCTCTCCTTGACTGTAAGAATTGCCAAGTATCAAATGCCTAGAATCAACCCAAATGTCTATCAGCAAGTGAGCGGATAAACTGTGGTATATGAAATGGAACACTATACAGCAAAAAAAAAAAAAAAAAAAAAAAAGAATGAGTCAAGCTACACATAAAAACCTGAATGAATATCACAGACTTCTAAGCCAGCAACAATCAGTCCGTTTAAAAGAATTCCCAAGTTAACTCACCACTTTCCAGAGGCTGTCAATATCCCACTAATAATTTGGATAATCAGTAAGATTTCATAACTTTAAATTTTTAAAAAAGACAATTCCCCAAAAATCACTATATCTAATTTCGTGTAGCTAAAAGCTCAAAGAAGATAATTTAAAAGGCTATATATATTTTCAATATTGGGAACAAAACAAAATCAAATATCTACAAGATTCAAGAAATCCTTCATGCTCTCTGAAAGTTGACATCAACACGATACTGTACCCATTATGTAATTACACTGAGTTTCAGAGAAGTAAGTCTATGTCATTTAAAACTCAAAGAAATGCCTAGGAAATAGTCTATATACTTAAAAATAAAGATATATCGTATCCATCACTTTAGTACACATGTTTAAATCAGTGGCTTTTGGATTCCATATCATATGTCCAGAGAGGCTAAGGAAAAAAAAAAAAAAAGCACAATTGGGGGGAGATTTGCTTAGTATGTGTTAGCACCAAGGCTCGTTGCAAACAATACAAAGCTTAGACTCTGGAGCATATGGCGAAGAATCACACAAATAGTGTGATTCTATAAAAGATATAATTCAAAAAGTAAGATAATCATGTTGTTAAAAGCTTTGAAACACTGGTTTTAAAAGTTTTCTTGATAAAATTCATTGGAATTGAAATTGACATAACAGAAATGGATTAGAACAAGCACAGCATACGGATGCATACAAGTCACTCCAAAATTCATCAGCCACTTTTTAGTAACATATCAGTGTATCACTGCAGAAAACTTTGCTTTGCAAACAGAGGACACTGATCTCACCTGATTTCATTTTCATACTGTGGGGACAGTCTACCTGAATTCTGGTAAAAGCTTTTCAGGAAAGGGGGGGCAGTGAAGGAAGGGGCAGAGAAGGAAGTATGTAGACTTGGAAGGCTGGAGGAAGAGTTACTCTCCTTGTGCATGCGCCACACTGATGGAAGAATGCTGAGTACAGAAAACACAGCAAATTTGTCTTAATTTAGATTTCAGCAAAAATCTTCATTCACTATGAAAAAGCATTATAAACAGGATCTTGCTATTAACTTAAGCTTTCCTTTTAAAGTTCAGGGCTGGATCTTCTATGGAAAGAGGAGAGCATGCAGTCGTCTCTTTCGATGACCGTGACCTAGCTCACTCTTCACAAACTGAACTCCTCACCCAGAATGACCAACCAGACATGTTTGTCTCTAAAAAATTCTTCACGATTTTAGGACAAACGGTGTTTGTTTTTACATGCAAAAGATACCTCAAGGGAAAAAAAAAAGTAGGAAAGCAGAAATAATTACAGGAAACACGTTCCTGTGACAGATTATCAGTAGTTCAAAGACTTAGCTATTTTAAACATATACACCCTTCAAAAAATTTAGGAACAACATGTTTGGTTGTTGGAAGCCATCATAATACCTCTGGCTTAACAAACATGAATGTCTATGTTCTCCCTGCAGCCTGTGGGACTGTGTGTCCATAGTTTTCTCTGAATCCTTGAACCTCCTCCATTGACTGCTCTTTTCAGAAGATTCTTTTCCTAGCAAGTTTTCACAATAGCACAAATAGCATCTTTTCATACTGACAAAAATTATTTGAGCATCTACATTATAAGATGTAAGGAGAAATAGAGAAATCATTTATAAGTCTAAAATAATGTTTTAAATTCTTGATAACTTTTCCTGCAAAAACAGACATTGCTTTGTATAAATATAAATATAAATATAAATATAAATATAAATATAAATATAAAT